CCCCCCCGCCCCCGCCCCCCTCGCCCGCCATCCTAGTTACCGTCCTGGCCGCCGGATCCACCCCCGCCGCCATCGCTACAGACAGGTTTCGCCGCCGGTACCGCTGTGGCGGCGCCTTCCTCCTCCTCCTCCCCCCCCAACGATGACGACGACGCATCAGACATGTCCACTGGCATCACCCCGTCCGCGCTGCCGGTCCAACTCCCGGCGTTGCTGCATGTCGGGATCGATACGCCAGACCGGAGGTAGTGATACCGCGGCTCGCTGGAAGCGGTGCTGAAAAAGCCCCGCGCGATGTCACCACCGCCAACCCCGACGACTCCCGGAGCGATGAGCCCGCCGCCGCCGGCCACACCCACCGGGGTGGATTTCGCCGGTTTGAAGGCATCGGTACCGTTGTTCCACCAGGCGACGCTGAAGCTTCCTCCAGGAGGGCTCGTCATGCTGCGAGCCCGCGACGAGGCCGGTGACGGCGGTGGGGGAGAAAACCTCTCGTTCGCGTTCCCCCCACGTGCACGGCTGCGTCGGCGGCGGTACTGATTCCCCCTCGCTCCTCCGTGCCCGCCTCCGAAGTCGACAACGCCGGGGCTGTCTTCGTCCGGAGATGTGAGCGATGCGTTGGCTGTCGCCCGAATCCGGAGGAAGCCGTCGCCGGCATCGGTGCCGCCACGATCGCGGTTCTGTCGGTGTCTAGCGGCCGGAGCCGTCGTTTCCGGACAGCTCTTGTCGCTTCCAGCTGATCGGGGCCTTTCTCGTTCCCCTTCTCCACTTTGGTTGTAACCGCTAAGCGGGGCCTTCCAGCCGCTGCCGCTACCGCCTCCGCCTCGGCTGCTTGGGGTCGGGGCCTCGATCGTGAGTACGGCCGATGTTGGCCTGTCGTCGACATCAAGGCTGCCGTGGCGGCCGGTGCCAGCTGCTCCACAGCGAGCGCAGGATGACACGACGCCTGCAGCAATGGCGGAAGAATTTCCAGTCGTCGACGTCGTCCGTGCCGCGGGGAAACATGAAACACCGCGGCCACGAACAAATTGGGGTGGAAAAGAAAACAGAGCGCGGTACCGCACGGGTCAGGCAATGCCGAATATAGAGTAGAATAGCGGGCCACTTGGGGCTATGGGTGGGGCGATACGGCGGGAAGGCGACCAACAGCAAAACCGGCGTGCCGCAAATAAGCGAAAGGCAATCATAACAACGAGGACACACGAACATCTCGCACGTCATTCAGGCAACCGCTGGACGCTGGAGGATATCCCCTTGTGGCCATCGATGGGTGCAAGAGCAATGCACCTTAAAACCACCACCGCGCCTACGAACGTCTACAAGGTCTACCGCTGAGTTGGGGCTGCGATTGGCGAGGATTGTGTATCTCTTCTCGCGCAGCGCTTTCACAAGTTGCTGCTCTTGCCCACCGCCATCGTCAACACTCCCGCGGGCACTATCGACCTCCACCCCGCCCAAAAACAAATTATTCGGTCTTCCGTTGTTCTGTACAGCATGGTCTCACTCTCAATCTCCAGAATGCTCCCCCAGCTCTCCTCGACACTCACTTGTGGCATGCGTCTGTCAGAACCCTCGCGCCGCACATGGACACACGCCAGCTCGGAGCGCGCAAGCCTACACGAACTGTCGCAGTTCGAGACAATAGTCTGGGAAAGAA